TTGGGGATAGTTCACAAGAAGAGCTTCAAAAAGGCTACCGAATATGCTTTTCTAGGGCATTGCAGCTCTGTTCTTTCCCGACGTACCGACGTACCGTACCGATACGGTACGGTACCGTACCGTACCGTACCGTACCGTACCGTACCGTACCGTACGACGTACCGACGGTATATGCGCCGATTTGTCAAATATGGATAATGTGAAATTCGGTGTTTGATGGCTTCTGGTGATATGTCGTTCGACCTGACCTAAACATTGACATTGACCTAAGCCAATGTGACCTGCAATATTGACCTAAGTGCTGATCAAAGTGCTTTCTTCATGTTTTTTTTTTTACGCTCTTTCGAACGAAGCTTACCGCTTATCACTACATGGCTCGTGAGCCGAGTTAGAGGGAGAGGCGTTCAAACACCCTCGCTTTCCGTCCGGCGCTTCGTCTTTCGAACGAAGCTTACCGCTATCACTACATGGCTCGTGAGCCGAGTTAGAGGGAGAGGCGTTCAAACACCCTCGCTTTCCGTCCGGCGAGGGTGGCGCCGAGCACCGGCACGGCGTGGGTTAATATCATATGGAAAAGCCCGTGCTGAGGAAATTCGAATAGTTAGAGAGAAAATCATGTCTGATACACCGGACATTCTGCATTTTCTTCGTCCTCGTTATTGGCCGGCCTTACCAGGAGAATCAGTGCAGAAATAACTGACACTGATTGCCACTGATTGTCTCTATTCCGCGCCTGAATGGTTCCGGGAATCCTTAGCCGGGCCCGATTCCCGGGATCATTGTCATTAGTGTACATTGAGACCGTGTTCTCATGTGAGGGGGACAGCGGCTAGCTGTTAGTGCGTCGCGACGCTTTTTCGTACCTCGTCAGTAGGTATCTATTCCAGATGATAGTTATCCTCCCGAGATGATCAAAGAATGTTGCTCCAGAGATATCACGACCGCTGTTGTATTGCGAACATCTTTGACTGGTTTCTATCCCAGCTACCTTTGTTCTTGTACTTTTGCTTACTTATTTGACAATTTGAACTTGCGTTGCTGAGCTCTGGCGCCAATATGGATTCGAGCAGTGACTTATTCAAGGCTGTCTTTGTGTGATATACCATACAATGGAATAGTGTATCCGGCCTACATACTTTGCCCAGGCGTCCTTCTAGCTCTAAGACGAATATGCATAAATGCATATCTCCTGACGATACGTTGGCGGCTCACAAAAAAAAAACTATGTCGATACTCTAAAATCTAAATAATGTAGGTAAGAAAAGTCACAAATTAATTTCATGCCAACCAGCGATGCCATTCCTTGGGATTTGTCCCAAGATCTTGGGATTTGAACATTAACATTGGGATCTTGTGATTTGCGCTGCATATCTTGGGATCTGGCAGAAGCTGATTTCACTTTGTCTTCTCATGCTGTCGAATGCTTTTTTCCTTGGTCGATGATAAATTTAGGATGGATTTGCCTCACGGACGGTTAATAGCATTCAAACATATTGAAGTAACGGACGAAGCTTGCGATGTTTCTTGCAGGCATTATCTTCCCGAGGTCGCAGGATTATTTTTGTACCATTACTTGTTATGGGTAGGGGAGAGTGGGGCAATGGCGACACCATAAGCATTTTGCTCAATAGCTTAGCTATTTGAAGCTATTTTATGGTGATTTTGATTGTGGTTATAGCCAAAGGAATAGGCTTTCAGATAGCACCCAGTTTTAGTATCTCAGATCACTTATGACAGATTCAGAGCCTACGCGAAAATGTGGTGAAAAATGGAGGTGCAAAAAAGCGAGGGGTAATGCCGGCCACTAAGTGCAATAGCACAAAAAGTCGAAATATCGTCACTGGTATTCATCCTTACACCGTTCTTTCGATGGAAATTTAAGTGAGAATTAACAAACGACAACTGTATTCAGCAGTTAACAGTACACTGCACTGCAACACAACACTGCACTCGCTGCAACACAACAGCGCGGCGCCAACAGAGCAGCAAACTAACACAACCGTAAACACAGCAAGCAAACTAACACAGCTGTAAACACAGCAACCCGAAACGTTGAGCTTTAACGACAGAAGTCACAAACAAAACCGCGTGGAGTCATTCCGGACACGTGTCCGGTATTACCCCGAGGTCAGCTTTATTTTAAGAAAGCAGGCAGCAGTCAAATGCATTGCGCCGCAAACGCCTCACATCCAGCAGTCGCCTAAAAAAGGCTTAATTGAAGGTCATTGCAAAGCACTCAGCACTTCTGAAAATGCGTTAACACATTTCACAGTCAGCAAATAGATGCAACAAAAATTAAAAATCAGATACGAAAAACACATTTAACGCTATAAAAATGAAAATAATGGAGCTACCGTGATAAACTTGCACCACGTGCTAGAATGGCGCTCAACTGAAATGTAAACAACATCAGCTGATTAGTGATGGACAAAGTACTCACTAGAGATGGGTGGCCGGCATTACCCACCGTCCGCCATTGCCCCACTCTCCCCTATAGTAGCAGCTTTCAGTCGCTGTTCGCAACTGGCGCTCATTTGTTTAACCCGCGCCCGGCTGGGGGTCCTGGATTTCCACGCCCTGCTGGGGGGGGTGTTTGAACACCCCCCTTGTAACTCGGCTCCTGGGCCACGTAGCGATACGCGGAAGGCGGCGTTCGAAAGAGCGTCAAAAATAATGACGAAATCACTTCGGTCAATTTTTTGGTCAGGTCAAAGGTCAGGTCACCAGAGGTCATTGAAGGCAAAATTTCGCCGATTTCCAGGTCGAATGTCGAAAACTTCCAAGAAGCCAACACATAACTCGGGAACCAATAGAGCTACAGCGCCGCGGAAAAGCGCATTCGATAGCCCTATTAACGCCCTTTCTGAGTATTTCTCTCAGATTTGACCTAACGTCAACGGTTTTGCCTGCAGGGGGCAAAAACTGCAAAAATAGCCGATTTTTTCGGAAACAGTTTTTCTGCAATAACTTTTGACCCAAGCCTTGTACGGGCTTACTTTTACCGGCATCGTGTTCCTCTCGTCAAGACGCATCGAATGAACTATAACTTGACCTTGAAAGGTCAACTTGAAAATTTGACCTCAGGTCAAGGTCATGACCTGACCGGAAAGGGTCATGTTGCATATCAGTTGATCCGTATCGTCGAGCTGAACACATCTAAGGCGTTTTCATCGCTCTAGCATGCCTCTATCAAAAGTTATTTGCGAAAAACTGTTAGATACCATTTGTGACCTAAGATGACCTCAGGGCATAAACAAGGGTCACGGACACCATTTTCATGTTCTGTGTGTCTAAACCACTTGTAATTCGGTGTTTGGGAGTGTTTATAATGTCTTTCGTCCAAAAGAGGCGCATTTCAATTTTCTCCCATTGACTTATAATGGGGAGGTCGCAAAATTGACCTGACCTTAGGTCATCGATATCAAAATTCTGAGATATACATTTTGTACATGCTATTGCTCTTAGCAATCGCTGAAAGTTTCAAAGCGATCGGTCACTCGGTGTAGCTATGACAGACATTGAAACTTTTTACGAGGTGAGGTCACTTCAAGTGACCTGGTGACCTGACCTTGAATGACCTTGGTCTGAAATTTTCACAACATGTGTAGAATTGATGTATGATAAGGTATACCAAGGAGCGCCGCCGTTTTTGAGATATTCGCGAAAAACCACAAGGGGGGGTGTTCAAACACCCCCCCCCCCCCAGCAGGGCGCGGGTTAATTTCTAACTACCGATCAACGGGGATGGGTGGTTTGGCGGAATGATGTTGGATGGCTATGATTTATGAAAAGCTTTTACAAACATTATGCCTAAAAAATATTTCAGAAAGCGGCTCCCGCACAAAGCGTTTCATTTTACGGTTTTGCTCTATCGAGGCTTATCCGTTGACCGCGAACCAAAATGAGGGCAATTTGTCTTTGACCTCGGAAAAGTGTCTGGTCACCTGACCTCTGGGCTCTGCTGGACCAAAATTAATCAAAGCGTAACCTTGCGACCTTCACAACACTGCTGACGTCTTGTAACTATATAGTCCAGGGGACGAGCTAGGTCCTCGTTTAGACCCCCTCGCCATCGTCGGCTTGAAAATTCATGGGCCCCAGCGGGCACTGGCTTACGCGCAGATTCACAGCATAGGCTTTTCGATTTCGAGATTCACATAAGCTTTTAAGAGCTTGTTTTGGAGCCCATATTTCAAAACTCAGTGGTGGAAAACACTAAAAATCAGCCTGACCTCACTCTATATAGCTTCTCCAAATGTGTCACGAGACAAATTTCGAAATAAATCCAAAATGCCACAGACTTCGTTTCCAAGAAGTTCTAACAGATTCGAACTTTGTGTTTTGGGTCCTTGACCCACCATTGACGGTCGACGAATGACCTGACCATAATAGCAGATACCACCGGCTTCATGTTGTCTAGGCCAGCATCTTCATTTTTCGTGAAGCTCTTATACTCGGTCAGGAACCGATCAGCTGTAGGAGTCCGATCGACCCCCTCCCCCTCCCCTCCCCCCGGCCTCTAGGTACATTAGCTGCTGTAAAGACGCCAATAAGGACAAGGGTGGACCCGAAGAAGAGAAAGTTGAATACTAAACACACTAATATGTCCAAAATAAGCTATGGATTTACTTGGGGTACTCCTAAGGATATGCGATGGGTAGTCTTGGGATTCGAGACGAGAATCTTGGGAAATTCTGGTCGAGATCTTGGGATGGAGTAAAAATGTGGATGGCATCACTGATGCCAACGCTCCTCGCAGATTGTGTCACAGTGGCTCATAGAGTGCATCACAGTGGCCCACAGAATGTATAGGGACCACAGTGGCTCACAGACGGTGTCCTGGTGGTTTACAGAATCTGCCACATCGGCTCGCAGAATTTTTGGAGTGAGGGTCTCTCCTTCGATCGGCAAAGTTCGGATCGTGCAAGATGCATGATTCATACCAATCGTCGTCCTTTAGCTCAGCAAATATCGATGACATGTCATCGTTTGTGTTTCAGGCTATTTCTCAAATCACCGGCGAACCCTGACTTGCTCTACATTATCTTCTTTCTGCACAATCAGCTGACGATCACAGTTCTTCTAGTTCTGATCTTCGGCAGCAAGGTAAGAATGGAAAACACATAGCTCACTTGCAAGCACATACATAGGTAATACGTTACTGACAACACATAGCCTGCTGGCTTATAAATGCCTATAGTAACTGACATGCACGCAGCACACTCGCTAAAAAGGGATACCTAATGATAGTACTGTAATAAAGAGCTGAACGAAGTGACCTGACTCGGTCACCTCATTCACACAACGACTTGTTGGCCTGACCTGACTTAAGTTGGCTAAAGGACTCCAGAAAAAAGAGTGAAATAATGTTAATATCGTGTCTCGCTCAGTGAGTGCAACATGAAAAGAAGTATTAAAAAGCATGCGATGTGTTAGCCGACCAAATGAAAAAAGGCTCCAACAGAACTGAGACAAACATGTTGTTGATCGTTTATAAGTATACGAGGAAGGATACTTTATGAGTTTCTTTTAATGTAACGTCAACCTTCTGGGAGCGGCAGCGTTATTACAGCATACCTACTGTTTTTGTTGTGAGCGCTATTACAGCATTCTGTTTTTCATTTTATTTCACCTATCAAAAGATACAATTGCAGCTTTTGTTGCTGACGGTTCTTTTCTTTTTAATAACGGAGACGGCAATGGCCTAACCGTGCGGTCCAAAATGGCGGGTGTGCGCCCCATCGGGCTCCCACCGAGCTCTCCTAGCGGTCATTACAGTGCTGGCGCCGAGGGGAACGAGAGCCGCGGCGGCGGCGGTTGGGGTCGGCCGCGCCGTCCACCGACCTGTGGGACGTGGCAGGCACCGGAACGGGCGTTTATCCGGACTTTTTGCCGCCTCTGCTGAGGTGTATACAGACGGTATGCTATTTACATCGCCACCAGCGCCGCCGCCGGGTTCCATTCAGAGGCGAAGAGCAGCCGCCGGCCCGCTGCTGTTATGATGTCCGGAAGCCACGACAGCGTGAGGCCTTCCAGGCAGCTTCAAATGTACGAGTAACTGGAGCTTGTTAGATGGGAAGTTGTATCCCAAAAGTGAAAAGGTACTACAACTAACGGGCCAGCGGCGCTGTGTATCAAACGGAGATATTTGAGTGGAGGGGATGCTTGAGGATTATTGTTTGCTTGCAGACTTATGGTTCCTTAATCCTACTTACTTGAGAGTCACTTGTTGGTCTGGTCAGTTAGGGTTGTGGCTCTTTGTAATGATCTTAACCCTCGCCGGCACAGGCCATTTTTTAATGATCGTATGTATGTACTACAAATGCAACATTGCCCATTGCATCGCTAGTTTCGATCATCTTAACTATTTCGTTTGCTTTGAATGCGTCTTCAATTTGAAAGCATGCCTACTTACCTTCTTCTTTTCCGCTCCTCTCTCTTTCAACCATCCCATCCTCTGCCGCGCAGCCGCCCCAGCAAAGGGCAATTCGCTAGCGAATGCGAGAAATGATATTGCGTTTCGCCTACTTATGAGGCAGATGGTCAAATAAGGAAGGATGCTCGAGATGAATGATACAGAAGTTATGAAGGGCGTGATTTTCGTGGGCGGCGCAGTTTCGTAAATTGCGCTGCTGACGTTAACGAGGCAGCGTCATCGGGCAAAATACAAAATGACCCAACCAAAGAGGGACGAAAATGTGTTACTTAGGTATACAGCTGCTATTGCACAACTATTATGTGGCACCCTTCACAATTTTACTTCCCATTTCAGAATCACGTTGCAATACATCGCTTGGATTGACCGCGAAAAAATATGAAGCATATGTTGTTACGGGGTAAAATACTCGTTTTAAATGTTTACAATGCAACAGCTCATCATATCATAAAAACTTCTGCTTGTTAGATTTAAATCATGTCTTGCATGATGTCAAATAAGTTTTCTGGTCATTCGGGTTGGTTGGTTTATCACGCCAAATCACCAATCGGTTGCATGATACGTAACGTAATCCTTGATATTGTTGATCTGACGACACCTTGTCTAGATAGTAGATATGCTGCCTAGAGTCATCATGTCCAGGAAGATATCGACGGCTCATTCAGTGTTGTATATTATATCATACCGCCTCTGGACAAATCTGTCCGTTCCCTCAGTGACCCTCCCCAGTCCCCGGTGATCACCTTGCCATCCACGAAAGAGTTAGGTACTGGATAAGGTTGTGGTCTTAAAGGGGGCTCATATTCTTGTATCACCATATTCAGGAAAAAGAAAATGTTGGCATTGCAACACTCCATTAAACCCATTTCAGGTATTAAGTAGAGTGATGAACCCTACTCAATGGATCGTTATTTATCCTGCCGTTTCTTTGCATCATTAAAGAATATTATTTTGGGTATCGCAGACTACGCCCTTTTTTACAAAAAAAAAGTTTTTTTTTTGCCCGTCCTTCACAAAAAAGTCTACGATAGGTGCTTAGGTAGTTACCGAATGAAATACAGCTCAGGCGTGACAATGCCAGGATGTTCGGAGGAAGTGATGAAAACAAGTGAAGGGTTCCAAGAATTCGTATCGAATCCGTTTGTTTGTCAATCATTTAAGTGCTTCAGCGATTTTCTTTCTTTCTTTCTTTCTTTCTTCCTTTCTTTCTTTCTTTCTTTCTCCTCCCTCTGCTAACCCTCTTTTGACATTTCTCCGCAGGTCTACATGGTGATGAAGGGCCAGGGCCGCTCGGAAGGTGCCAACTCGTCGGCCCTAAAGCCGTCATCGGCCAAGTTTCTGGGCGGCAGCAAAAACTCAGAGCCAGTTGGGTCGAATCCGGCGCCGACCATCGGCGGCTCCATGGGCTCGCTGGACCTCTTCAAGCTGTCCGACGTCAACATACAGGTGATTACTGACGCGTATCGGGTGTGTGGATCGGAGGGATCAGCACTCAGCAAATAACTATATAGGCGACTGTTTAATGTTGATACTGGCATGTCCCTTGAACTCTGGAAGGGTATGTTGCAAATAAATTTGCTTAACCAGTTCCAATTATTCTAAATTCGTTAAGCTTTGCATCGCATCGCATTGTCCTCAACAAACGTTTCGTGGTTCATTTTAAACGCAACCGTGTCTAAGCCATATCATTCCCCTTCTTCCAACATGGAAAGCTTGTGTCTCATTTATCTACTATCAACCATGCTCGAGTTCGCGCCTCCTTTATAGGTTAGCTGGTCCGCGTTTCCCGGTGGATAGGTAGGCTTGCCCGCTGAACAGCCGGGTACTGCGGGTTGCATACCCATCAGTAAACCCGGCCGACTGCGAGGCCTGCTTCAACGCAGACTCAACCGGCTCGGCGTCAAAGTTGATATGAGTGATATTAAATTTTTATTAGAAGTGGAACTTTTAGATAATACTGCGTTATTTTATTTCCTGTTTTCTCGCATTCTACCTATGATCGGTATGTTGTCGTCTCATGGATGCTTTCTTTCGTCTTAAAATGATCGAGTTCGGGATGCAGTTGTTTCCCATCTTTTTCCCAAATGATTAGGGTTGGCTTTTGTTAACATCACTTTGGTCGGTAGGTATTTGGCTTGTCTTCGGTTTCCTAATATCTTGAAATGGACATTACTTGCAGGGACCTTAGTACATTACTCCCAGAAGACCGGCTGGTCTGGGTACCCTAACCAAACAAAATAAAAGATAATCACTATCTTGGGGACATGGGCTGAACACTGAGCAGCCGCGGGTCCGAGCTAGCTTAGCCGTAACGACTGTCGGCATATTCCGACAGAATGGGCTGAGCAGCCCCCGAGTTCTGGCGTGGGATCTAAATGTAATGAGCAGAAGCCGAAAACATGGCACAGATGGACTTTGCCTGTCGTAGTCTGTTGGTCCCGCTGCAAATCACTTTTCCCACATGCATTTACATTTTGTTTTATGACACAGACAGATGGGCAGACAGACACAAGACTTCCAAGCCCAGCCCAGCTTTTATTTTTGCTCTCTCACCGAATGATCTTTCTGGACATGCTTTCCATTTCCCAGTTTCGAATCAAGAAGCGTATTAATAATGCAAACTAGCCTCAACGCGGTAATGGTGGTCAGTTAAAGTACGGTGTAGACATTGTACCTACATCAGAGAGACACGCACTGTTGGGCGTAGACAATCCATATAACCCTGATCCTATAGATGGACCCATCACTGCCTTATCATCTGCCATGGAACAAAGTACTAACACGTCCCCTGACTCTCTAGTGCACCGCCCACGGTGTGGCCGCGCCAGGACGTCGGTGCTCTGTCGCCGCCGATGGGGGGTCACCGGGGTCACGACTGTGATTGTCAGCTGCGCGGCCGTGCGGCGGCCCGACAGTCGGTCCCGGCGGGTCCCGGGGGGTTCATGTGCTCCCAACAGTCATCAGCTGTCGTCTCGCCGCGCTGAGTCACACTGCTCACACGTATCGACCCCAGCACGCGCCGAAGGCCAGGTCACCAAAGGTCAGAGGTCAGGGACGCGTGGACAGCAAGTTGGGGGGTGTGCGTGGAGCCAGGAGGCAGGCTACGTCAGTTCGATGCAGGGAAGTCATTGCCAGCTGAACGACATGCTTTCTTGTAAGCATTCATCCTGATACTGACGTGTTATTTGTAGTTATTTAATGGGATCCTAAATCTAAACAAAATCTAAGATAACCATCCAGGTAACAAACTATCATCTGAAGTAATTAAACAAGTATTATTCTCTGTTTTCCTGCTGTTAACTGTTCTGCAGATTCCAAGGTTCGTCCAGTTCGTAGACATCACGTCATTAGCAACATCGATCGACATTTCTGGAGACGAACCCGGACTCATCAAAACAACCTCGCGCTTGATATGAAAACCGTATTCTTGATGCACAAGCATTCCATTTGACGTAACATCTGGTTATAAAACTAGTCACCCATTAGCCGCCTATTAAATTCAAGGAAAATTATCTAGGCTCAACGCTGAAGTCGGTGAACTTCAGTCTGTTCGGCAGTCCGTGATTTTTCTTTGGACGTCTACACAGGTGAATGCTCAGTCGTTGGGATTTCAGATAATTTTCACATTAAGAAATAAAAATATGAATTAGTGACATTTTAGCCTGCCCAGCGAAAACGTCTTTTTATAAACTGTCTGCTTACCTTAAAGCTTAAATACCGGCAGCGGGTGCAACGCATAGCAAAATCCGAACTAATAATCCAAAGGAGGCTCTTTTACCCTCTACCTATAGGGCATACCGCTATTGCGCCCCCCCCCCCCGATTTTTAGCCTAGTTAATCGCGTCATTTTATTATTTATTCGGAAATGTCCCCAACCCTTGACGTGGCGTATTGCAGGCCAGTGTTTCACTCGGACGTGTCTCCAGGCCATTGTCGAACAGATAGCAGGCTGGCGGTCGTGTTCCGAGGCAAAATGATAGTAGTCCGGCAAGCACAGGTCATGTTTAGGGACGCAGTGTCCGTTTCGTAGGCGCGGACAGTGTTTACGGCCTAATACCTGACCTGATGACCGTCTTTAACTGGACCCAGGGGCTGTGCTGAAACGATAAAGAACCAGACTGCATGGTGGAATTTGGCCGGAGGCGGTCGCGGGGCCGGCTCGGCAGGAGAGTATCGATCTCGGGACGCTCGGTCAGAGGCCCGGCTGGAGAGGTGGCACCGGCTGGGTGAGGGTGACCCCGAACCCCGCCCGGAGAACAACTATATCAGCCGCCGCTAATATCGCGGTATTTCTGCGCCCAGGACTTCCATTCCCTCGCGGTAGATCAGACTTTATAGCCAACGATTGGGAGAAATTAGTCATAATTGATGTTATTAGCGTAGGGACTACCTTAGCGCTGTTGTAAGTATGACCATTGGAACATTTTCGGTTGAAGCATCCAAAGGTTAACCCTATTAATGGCAGGCTCCTGGCTACCCCTATTAGTGGCAGGGGGGGCTGTTTACGACCCCCCCCCCCCGATATCTCGAGATCTAACGGGCCGATTTTCAAAATTCAAACGGCATTCGATTTCGCTTAACGTGATCTACATTTCAAAAAAAAAATGTCAATAGGGGGGTAGAGGGGGATAAAAACGGGCAAATTGCAGATACATTTTACTGTTTATCACGGCCAGGTTTCTGAACCAATCTTAATGCAACTTTTGCCGGTCGATAGAGAATGAACCAGGAATTCACATGGATCCTAAAAATATGCATTTTCAAAAATCATAGGCGGATACAGATCATTGAGATTGGGGGTACACAAAAAGTATAGTAAATAAGGTTTTTGTTGGTACTGTTTCTAAAAAGGGTGGCAACTGGCAATGGTCTTGTTACGTTACAATTTTCTTATGAGAGAACGACTACAATTGTATTGGTCATGCATAGGCGGTGTCAGGGCACCTATGTTGGGAGGTAAAACATAACCCCCCCCCCCCTTTTTGGACGCCTGGATCCGCCTATTATAGCAAAAACGTGTCAAAAGAGGATGCACAATAACTTTGTATATGTTATCACATGATACCTTTCATTCACTGTTCGTAAAACTGGTGCATACATTTATAATACATCAGCATCGTGATCTTCGCCCAAATGACTCGCTTCACGAATAGGACCCCCCAATTCCCAGTGCTCTGGAGCCGCCCCTGGTAAAGTTATGAACTTGAAATTTTCAGGGAATGTGCCCGATTTAGTTTTAGGAAAAGTCAGAAAATTTCAGCATCGTAGCTTCAGCGGTTTCGGAGATATTCCCGAAAAACCTGAGGGGTGGATGAAAACAATCCCCCCCTGCCACTAATAGGGTTAATATGTAGATTGTAGAATCATTCCAAAGCTAGCATTTCGACAAGCAAAGCTGTCGCCGGATTGGAAGAGCACTTCAGACATAAAGCCGTCCAGAGTAGGCATATTTACGATGCGAAAAGCGTCCTTGCTTGCGTCAAACCCTGTTAGTGATACTCGACGTAAATGTAATATCAGTGAAGCTCTGAATATACCAAAGTGGTACGCATGCACTGCCAATGACGTTTATTTGATCTTGTCATCCTGGATAATTGAATTATTTCGTAATGTGCGCTGGAGCTCATCCTGGATGTTCAAGCTTGAAATTAGTCCCTGAAATTAGTTCGCAGCAGGACCTAAAATCCATCACGATAAGCCCTGCTAAGTGCACATTTGTTATATGTAGACTAACTTTCACCTCTAGCCAGTACGGTATTAGTTTGTCCTTACCATACCACCGCCAATAGGTATGCATCTCACTACCTTTGTAAGTACGAATTAAGTGTGTAAGTTAACCTCTCTTTGTGACGTTACCCGCCCCCTCTCTGTCCTTCCTCAGAACGAGCTGGACAAGGTGACGCGCTACCTGGAGCTGCTCGTGTCGCGGGGCAGGCCACTCGGTGACGATACCTGGCACGCCCAGCTGGAGGCCATGCTGGCGGCCGCGCGCGGCGAGAGCGCCCACCGCGCCGTCGACCGGGCCATGCAGGACGGCATGGGCATCGCGCCGTCGCCCAAGGTGGACTCGATGTTGGCCCAGGTCACCGGTCAGCTGGTGACAACCGTGATCCGGGAACACACTGCGCCGACCGGCGAGGCTCGGCTCGAGACCCCGCCGCCGTCGGTAGCCCCGTCGGCGCCGCCGGCTGAGGTCGGGCCCTCGGTGGTGCTCGGGTTCGAGGGAGTGGTGGTGGACGGTGGACGGGCGCCGCAGCAGGGTGCGACCCAGCGCCAGGAAGTGGCGGTGGACGCGACTCCGTACGTGGTGATGGCCGAGGCGCAGGTGCAGACGTGTGCGGCCGGGCGCGGCCAGAAGCGCCACTCGGCCACGCAGACGATCCGCACCATGGCGGCTCCGCTGGCGTCTGTGCCGACCGAGACCGACATCAGCTCCTCCGGGTCATCACTGCGCCCCTCCAGCTCCGGCTCCGACTCCAGCCGCTCCTCCGGCTCCGGCTCCGGCTCCGACTCCGGCTCCGGCTGCGACCCGGCCGACTCGGCCTCCGAGGACTCCGGCAGCACGTGCGAGTGCGCGCGGTGCGGAGCCAAGGGAGTGCGACCGCCCGCGGCGGCACCGCCAGAGGCCGGGTCGGCGCGTCTTCCCGTAACCAGAAAGAGGAACGCGAGGCACCGGCGGCGGCCGCGGTCGCTGCAGGCCATCCGGCTGAGCGATCGTTCTCGGTTTACCGAGGCAGTGACAGTGTGAGTGGTGACTGCCGCGGGACGGTGTCAGTGTCAGACAGTGACACGTTACAGTGACAGTGTCAGACGGTGCTAGAAGCAGCGGTGAGCTGTGGTATGTCCGAGGACGCGATATGTGTAAGAACAGGTGAGAACAGTGGTGAACAGAGGTGGTGGGGACTGGCAGAGACGGTCGTCGGTCATAGTGCATGGCGGGATGGCCTAAGGACAGTGAGGTATGAATGCTGGTGGGACCTGTGTGTGGCAATGGATATTGATGGGATTAGATTGTGCTGTGTTGGGTCGGCTCCTTGGTTACCGAGCAAAACTATTAGTGGGTTCATTCAGTCCAGAAATCGATGTTTTGCTCATTGATGTGCATAATGCTTCGAAAGTCTCTTCTTCAAAACGTGATGTGCTTGATATGTGTATTGTTTTTGTCGTTTTGAAAAGTACGAGTATTTCACTTTTGAACTGTTCGTTGTAATTTTCCTGTTGAATGTTAAATATTGATTTTAGCTCCCAGGCAATAAATAAAAAAAGTTTACAAAAGAATTAGATCTCTTCGTGATCAATATCAATTTCATCTCGCGTTGATTTTCATTCATTCAGTTAATCTCCAATATTTAGGTATAATCCGTTGGGAGGGAGCCAATGTCATTATTAAACCCTGCGTTGCGGATGAACGTTAATTAGATACTTTAATTTGGCCAGGAGGAGACTGTAATAATCGACTCTGGCGAGTGTTTCATATGGGATGACGGATTCGTAGTGTCGCTCGAGTATGTAACGGTGTTGGTTTGAGTGTAAGGATGCAGCCGAGTCTGGCATTTGTCGTGTCCGGTCCGGACCGCCGCTGGTCTCGGCCCGTGGTCTCGGACCGCGCTGGTCCCGGACCGCTGCGGCCTCTCGTTGTCCGCTGTCGGTCAGTGAGGGACCGATCGGTATGTGGTCGGTCATTCACATCCGGCGCTCAATGTCTCGCTGTGTCAGACATGTGCCATAATGCCAAACGTATCTTTATTGCCGTTGTCTTCAGCTGTTAATGCAATGAAGAGAGCAGCTCTTTCTGTGACTTGTAGTTTGTGGCGTTATTTTTGGGTGTCTGAAAAGCGAAGCGTGCTCTGGTTTGTTCACAATCAATTACAATTATTCCGACTTTTTATTATTCAAATTTAGCACCCATAGTCACGATCGCGCTTGCGAGACTGGCTTATCTATGTATAAACCAATCAACAGTCCTTCGATGTGTTCAATTTTCGTTACAGTTAGACAAAGCAGCTTATATACCACGTAGAATACTAGGTATGGTTTACACCAAAACAATTCATATCGATTTAAAGTAAGAATGGAAAATAGAATTGTGCTCGGTGGTTTGGGAGGATCGTATCATCGCTTAGAGTGTAGTATAAAGCCAATGCAGCAGCACCATAGGAAAAATAAAAATACGCTGACTCAAGAGTGCCGGAGCATTGTATCAAGACGATTTGAATGTGAGTGATCACGCCACGCGAAAGTGGTGCGTGGAAAGCTGTGTTGAGGATAATTGATGATTGAGATCAGCGTTTAACATATCACGTCTTTTATACCTTATTGTAGCATATTATCTTTGAATAATATAATTATCTCAGCCTCACTGCCGCCGGCCCGACCTTGCCATAGAGCTTCATCTGGCTGGCACCCTCTGCATCATCTCGCCGTTACGGTGACGACTGACGCTCTTTGAATCTAACACGTCGACGGTGACAACACGATCTGCTTTTGTAGGGTCGAGTGTTGTTTTGCATGCTGCGGTTGTCGCTCCCACGTCTCACGCTCTTTTATTTCCAAGTCTGCTTAATTCCTAAATCCATTCTGTGCCTTTTAATTTGTTCTTTTCCACCAAGTTCTTAGATGTCTTTTGAAAGAGATGATTGGAAGCTAGTTTTACCATTTATGTGTCTTTTGAGTTAACTTAAATGATACCGTTGCATGGCGTTCAAAGGTTCGCACACTAATTTCTCGCCTTTTGCTACTTTTTCTCTCGCCCTTGATGAAATAGGTATTGCAAAGCTGATTGAATTGAATTAGACATGCAGTCCAATAGCAGTCAAGAGACATGACAGACGTGCCCTTTCATTGGCTTTTTGTGGTGCGCTTTAGCCGGAGCAACGCTCGCCAGTCACTACTTAGTTGACATGGCTAAAAAGTTCCTCTTGGCAGATCATTTTAACCGATGCGGGACGACTGGCTCTGGCGTTTTACGTCCTTCGTAACTGATCTCAGAGCATGTTTTCCACATTTTTAGCAGCCTCCTGTCACTAGTGTATGTCTCGAAGGATGTTTCAATTTTGCTTGCTCTCATACTCCGAGACAGATCCCCATTTTCCGACAAACAGCTTTTAGCTGGGGGCGTCTCTCTGATAGGATAGCGGTGAGACTGGAGACGGCGCTGTTCGGCACGGATGGATATATCCTGGATATATCTTGGATATATCGGCGTATAACGACTGGATGTCGCCAAGATTGCACTACATCAAGGCAGCTCAAATGCAGTCCATATTCAGCCTCGAGTCGGGCAGACGAGTTATGGCAGAAGTTGTACAGCGGTAGCTGCTGCTGGTGGGTGAACTAATTCCGGGGCATCTCGAGGCTCCATCCACTTGACCTTCGGAACCAAGAGAGGTCGCCAGACCAAAATTTTGACAATACATTGAGCTCAAGATCAAGGCAAAAGAGGATACAATTATAAAATGAGACCAACAAACGACAACCCACAATTATCTACACTGTCTAATCTGCTTTAGGTATGTGCCAATTAGGTCACTAAATAATTCATTTTATTTTACTTCCATGACACATAGCTCGAATATGCCAGTATTACTTACCTGTAGTGTTGAACGTTCACTTGCAAGGCGAATCTCGAATACTGTGCTTCATGTAAATGTGGTTCAAAGAAAGTACGTCATTCCAAAAAGGTTGCAGGTCTGCCGTTGATCGCGAGTCAGCAGCAGTACTTCCAGCCAGTCCAGCAGTCCTTGCTGGAGCTGGCGCCGGAATCTGTGGAAGACGTGATGCCAATAACACAAGGCTATCAATTACGTTGTTGCTCCCATTGCTCCCATCACTATAAACTCACCATTGACCACCTTTACCGGGTGTTTTACAGCAGTGGCCATCTGACGCTACGTGCTACACATCATCGCATAATTTGTCTAAAAAAAAACTATACATGGTAAGATTTTGAGTTATAAACAGAGAGTACCTTATAATTAAACAATATCAGCCAGCATCAGGAAACCTATAAGTGGTAGGTCTGGTAGGAATGGAGTTTAATGTATACTTGAAAATCGTAACTTGCAATGCAAATGCTTGCGACAAATCACACTAAACACGTATAACGGTTACCTAGCCGGTATCATTTAGATAACTTCTGGCACTTAAAAATTGACTCCACCTTGAACAATTACTAGAAATCATCAATATAAGAATCTGATGACTCCGATGAATGAAAATCTCACAGATGATTGCAATCAGGACTGCAATAGGGAAAATATGATTTGTGTTTAGCTGCCACCTGTTCCAACATAAGCCTCTCGAGGAAGGCCTGCAAATTACCCAATTGTGCAGTCTCGGAATCAACTGATGTGTACCGTAGGTCTTTTGAATGGAGCATGGTTTGATCGGGAATTCAGAATTGGTGCATTACACTTGCCAGCATCGTCCGATCTCCCATAGTGATTTCCATAGACTATGGAGCGAGCCGCAAGCTTACTGTCCTTGGTTACTACATATAATTCCGAACGTCTATCATTCCCTCTTATTGCAAAAATTTGGAGTGATCGGCTAAGATGTTGTAGCAAATGCTTGTTTATCTGTTGTATCACATGCATCGCTAAAACTTGTGCTCAAGAGTTTTAAAGCAAATTCAACATAACAAACTTCGTGACTTGACCTTAGGCGAACTGAATTCAGAGCACACGAACGACGCTCGCCTCCTGCTCGAGCTATTGTTAATAGGTGTCTCAATTAATGCGACAAATTCTCTCATCGTCCCCACGAGTAGGTACTTGAGACAGCCCTTATGACGTCCTAATGAGCTATGGCACTGTATGTACTTCGAACGGCGGCGGTTCCTGGTATATGTTGTCTGGCCAGGGCGAACCCATCGACCGATCAGCTGACTACGTCATTGGGGCAGCGCCGTCTCCGGGTCGGTCAGCCCCGCTCTCTCGACCCTCCTAATGAGTCCCCGGCTTTCGGGGTAGAACAGATTACTTTCTTCGGGAAAGGTCTGATGGGAAGAGGTCAGAATCAGGTAAAGATAGAACGGTTGATTAGAAGATGGGTGCTTCAGAGCTCTTATGTTTGAATGTAGGTAGTTTTAGAATCATTTTAGCTAGACCTGTAGCGCGCGGCACCAACGCAGGTCAGGAACTTCGTTTTTCATAATTGCTGTGAGATTCAATATTTTTATTGACACGCATAGCTAGAGTTACTCAGCTGTGGAAGTAACCCTGTTATGTCAACAATTATCGTCTGATTTCAGCAAGGAAAAACGTTGTGCAAGACAATGTATAAGAAACATTGGCATTATGTGCCGTATACCTACGAGCCGTGCTCGTACAGACTAAACAATTTCCTTTCGGTCACGTTCCCCAACCACATGAGCGAAGTTAATGTGCAATGTGCGTACAAAGGGGTCATGAGGCTGATGCTCGATTCAACCGTGAAGGCAGAAGGTGGCTTGAGGCTTCAGTTCTAAACCAAATCTTCAAATAATTTCAAATTGTCTAACTTAAGAATACAGTTAAATTACGAATCCTAGAGGGTACATATCCGACTGACTGACTTCGCACTCTGCAAGTGCCAAACTCTCAACCCTGGTATGCATCGCGGTAACTGATAGCAAAGCTTGTTTGTCTCGCATCTCGCGTTCGGAAATCGAACAATGTTCAACAGTTGCTTGAATCTCCTGCTTCGGATATCAGCTGAGATTGTCGCTGTTCGGATTGTTTGCAGTCGCACAGAACTTACTAATGTGGCTCGGGTGTGTGGCCGACAGCGGAAACCGAGCTGGTTCGTGCATCGTCTACTGACGCGTCTGTGGCAGGGGCGGTGCGCTAAGAATTGGGGCACAGTCTGGGCGGCTGTGGCTAGATAACAAAAAGAACGGCTAGGCGGGCTACATAACAGTGCAATGTAATTCGAAGAGGGTATGTGTGTATTAAAAAAGTAAGCAGCTGAGCACTGATCTTACACAAAGTTTCAACATATTGATACAAGTGTATTTGCATATTACTTACCAATAGCAAAGTAATTCTGTCGAACTTGAACTCCACCAGACAACAGTGAAACACTATTCACGCACGTGCGAGTCCGGCTAGTCTGACCTACGCTGACCCCAGGGCTAAAAAAAAGTGTTTGGTGGTCGCCGACCAAAAGTTTTATTCATATTGTGGTCGCAGCCCCAGCTGCCCAGTGCCAACTGCCCATGACTCTTTGGTTGTCGGACACGCAATGGAACGTTTTTAAGCCAATTAACTTCTAATGCTGCTATGCCCGGCCCCGTAGCCCGTATCAAGCGCCACCAATATACACGAATCTGCAATTATAACACGTGTTACGGCGAACGACGATGAACCGGAGGACCAAACGTTAGACGAAACGATTAACGACTGATAGGTATTTATATTATGCTGGAAATTATTGAGATAGATGACTAAAGGAACTGACGCATGAAGCGAGCAGGGAACGACGAGACGAGAATGAATGTGAATGAATGACAGATGAATGATATAACACGAGCAAGGCGAGTCGATCATTTAATTCAAGTACGAAATACGAAAACATGTAACGAATATTTTCGAAGCACACAAGTTCACCACCTCGTTTTCCAAAAATACACAAAAATACATCAAATTTCATAATCTCGTGATAATGTCACACGCGCGACGTAACAAGGTGATCCGCTGCGCGGCGGCAACAACACGGATTAAAAGCAGTGGTTTGCCCTGGTGGTTTGATCGCTAACGCTGCGTTCGGACAGCCCAGTTTCCACGTGAAGTTTCTTCGCCGATGAG